GGGGGGGGGGGGGAGGGGACGGTTAGCCGATGTAACGGGGAGCTTTTACGCAGATTTGGCCAAAGGACCGTATCTCTGATAAATCTCACGGCATATAAATCTCATACCGCGCTCGGGAGTTAATTATAAAATTAGCGCAGGCGGCATAACCGTTCTGAAATATTACAAATAAAGCCGTTAGGAAAATTGATCGCGGCATTAAATCTTCTCGCACGCTAACGCGGCTTCGCCCACCCGCGTATACATTTTGGCCAAGACTGTAGATCCGCGCCAGATTCTGCTTAGCAAATGTTTGGAATGCGTAATAATTTAATATCGAAGCCGTGCCGGTACGGTTCTATCGGCGGATATCCCGGCGAACCGTAACACGGCGCTGCGAAAAGTTATTCCACGTAATTTCTCGCAGTCGCGAGACCGACCGGCCGGGTACGACGAACGACGACGATGAGATTTGCGAGGGAATCCCGCGCCGTCTGACTTTATTATTATTATTATTATTATTATTAGCCGTTAACAGTCACCGTCTTGTCGGCGTCTTGTCGGTTTCGTTCATAGCAACGACGATTCGAACAGTAACAACGTTAATAACGACGACCGCGCGCGTGATATCGTGTTACCTGTCCGATGACAATTTGGCAGTGGATGGATGCAAGCGGAGAATGCGAATTTTTGCTCGATGTTGTCGATGTGCCGTTATTTTATACCACCGAGATCGATCCGGAAGGTTTTGTTTTTTTTTTCGTTTCCCCCTCCCTCTCCCCCTCCTCGTGCTGCTAGTCACATATACGTGTGTTTATATGCAGTATAAAAGGTGCGCTTAGAGGCTTCTGTACATTATATCCTTCTCCCCCCCCCCCTTTACGTACGAAGTGTGACGGGAGTTGCGCTTTCCTTTTGATATTGGTTCGACGGTTTGGTTTCGTTTCTCGACGTTACTTATACTTGCAAACGATCCTCGACAATGGTGGTTCTCAACGAACTGGTTTGTTTACCCTTTGGATTTATATATCTACACGTATACCTGTGAGTTTTCAATGGTCGTCACTTATTAGTTGGAATGCCAAATACGTGGGGTGTGTGCAGATCGTTCGTTAGAACAGATGCCACTCGGTACACCTTATCCCGGGGGGACGTCCCGTGGACGACCTTAGAATTGAGGACGTCCTTCGGACGTTCGCTGGACGGGACGAAGTGTGCTGTGCGGGATACATTTCGATAGATGTTTTTCAGTTGGATTGATTTCGGTCAGTGAAATTCTCGTATTTGCGTGTATCGCGCGTTTGAATTTTCGTAGCTTTCCTCTCTCTCTCTTTTTCTCTCTTTCTCTCTCTCTTTCTCTCTTTCTCTATCTCTCTGTGTCTCGTTCTTTTTATCTAATTTAAATTGCGAACCATTACCATTGAAACGAAAGTCTCCAACGACTAGCCTGTGTCGCGTTGGCACAGATACAAATCCCACAGAAGGCCGGTCAATAATTTCCCTCGTCAGTCGCTCTTTCGCATATCTTTCAGTAATATCATCCGTCCTTTTTTTTCTGTTTATTAAATTTGCACTTCGCAAGCGTTATCGGGAAATCCTATCGCCCCGACGTTGTCACATTGCGTAAATTGCTTCGAAATGTGAACGAATCGAATGACAAGCGTGCGAAGTATTTCCAGGGGGGGACGCTTGATTTTTCAAATTACGGCTGTGTTTGACTTCCATTTGCGCTGACGATTATTATCGTCGACGTGGCTGTTGTGTTTTTGTACTCGTGTGCCATAACGTGACCAGATGTCATGAAAATAGTATGATAGAAAATGCGCGCACACGAGAACGCTGCGCCCGGCACCATTTTCGCGGGAAACGCGACATGTCCCGATGACGATAAATTCGAAATCGTGGCGACAACATTGGAAGCACGTAAATATTATACGAGACGTGGTACGAGCCGTATCGGCACATTTCGCTCGTACGCTCGATTAACACGTAGCGACGGTGTATCTCTCGTAGTAGTAGCGGTGGTGTCTCCATTTTGCATCTGCTGCCAAAGTTCTCGAACTGTTCTGTTTTAACGAGAAAAGCCCGCCGAGGTTTAGCACACGCGCGCATTGGCGCGATCACGTATTATTTATTAAAGAAAAAAGAAAGAAAAAACAAACAAACTAGCGAAAACGACTCTCACTCAGTGTGATGATTTAACGATGATAAAATTTACCTGGTATCTTTCAGTTGATTTGTGTAAAGAAGATGGTATGTAAATGATTTATATTTATTTCCATTCTTATAACTCTCTTTTGCATGTTTATTTTTTTCCAACTTTCTCTCTCTCTCTCTCTCTCTCTCTCTCATCACGTTTCTTTACACCGTTTCCGTTACACCGTTTAAACGTCGAACGTCTACCTCTTATATTTCTTGTAAGCCGAAGTCACCGTAACACACCTGTGTCTGGCCGATGAATGTGTACTGATCTGCTGTCGCACTGCATATTAAGAGATATTCGACGCGCTCTCGAATGAAGAACGGTGTTTTCGCAGCACACGCATGAGCTTTCACGAAGACGCTCCCCCGCTCGATTTGAAGGGCTGAGCCTTTACGCAAATTTGTCTGAAGCTTAAATAGACGCGGCCGGAAGCATTCCACCGTCCGTTGCTGCGGATTTATTACCGAGGCTCCGTCTAAATTCTCCCATCAAACCGAGAGGAAGGCCGGCTTCTGGTAACATTAGACCGCCGTTTGGTTTTTAGAATATTCTTCTCCGCTTAATAACGGCAACTGCTAGTGTGTATCAACAATCCCCTTAATACCGACGTTACGTCGCTATTACTTTTTTTAGCGAAACAAAACGATTCGTTCGAGCTGCGATCAAGCAGGGTGCTTCCTTTCGAGCGAGCGCGGCTTCGTGTAAGCTCCTTAAAGCTTTAGCCTAAGGAGAAACTGCCGTGACTGTTTTCATTTTCCCTCTTATTTTGTCTTTTTTTTCCTACCGCATTTGCGCTTCTGTAATTCTGGCTATTCGACGTATTCTTTCTGTCTCCTCGCCATTACGCTCGACCTCCGGGGATGACGATCGGTTTGATGCAACGAGAAGTGGCTTCTCTTTACTTTAGCGACAGTCTTCAGTGTATGCATGCGCTTGCATTATATCTCTGTATTGGTAGCTGCATATACGTGTGAGCGTGTATGAACGTGCGCGCGTATGTGTGTGTGCGTGCGCGTGTATGTCTCTCCACGTTGCTCTTTGTCCCGGCATCAGTCTGCAGAACGCAAGACCTGGATCTCGCATTCGAGTTTGCAACGCAAAAAACGGGAATTTACGCCAGTCGCCGCTCGCTCGTCGCGCGGGATGCCCTGCGAAGAATGGAAACAGCGATATCCTTCTCGCAAAGATACCGCTCGAGAGATACTTCGCGAGACATTCAAGTGTCTCGACCGAGTGCGTGGTGTTCCTCGAGGGCTCAGCCGCTTCGCCGCTCTCGTATCCCGTTAATCGCGGCGGTGAAACAGCGCGTTGTCAGCGCGTGGGTCCGCGAAAGAAGGAAAGAAAGAAAGAAAGAAAAACGAAAGAGAGGAAACGCACGGTGAGACGAGGGAAAAAAGGAGGAAACACGGATCCACGTTTGCGCAACAGTTTCTCACCGGCGGTCGCGGTCGCAATTAGCGGAGTGCGCCGGTACGGTTCGGCGGAGCGTTTCAGGAATACCCGCCCGGTCTGACCCGTGATCGATCTTCCACGAACGAGCGGAAAGGAGAGAGAGAGAGAGAGCGAGCGAGCTTTTGCAAAAGCGTGCCCGGCATATTGATGGAAGGAACATCCCCGAGATGGGGGGGTTCCCCCCTCCCCGGGACGATATTCCCGAGTTTTCAACGATGCGGTTTCGCACCGACGGTATCGTCGGAAGAAAGAAAAAGATCGCGACACCGGCGGCGGCTGGCGTAATTTCTCGCAGCCGGAATTCCTCGTTCGTGCCGGACGTGTACGGACGTCCCGCGGGGGAGAGATGGTCGCTTCTGCGTCGGAAACACCCGGACGAGATGACGATGGGTGTCTCCCCGTGTCGTCGTGAAAGAGAGCGGCCGAACGGCCGGCCAGTAGGGATAGTGCATGCTGTGTTCGACGTGTGTTGTAATGGGAGGGCACCGGGGGTTCAGTCTCTGATGATCCAGGTGGCAAAGAAGGCGAGCGTGCTGAAGAGGCGGAAGTCGCGGAACCGGATGGACGTTCAGCAGCCGGCCCTGCCGCCCGTCACGATATCCGGCGGCATATCGGCCGGCGCCGGCACCGGCCAGAACGAAAACCAGCAACGCCTCGAGAACGAGGGGGACGTGGTTTTCTACATGGAGGAGCCCAAAGCGGGCACGCCGAATCGCGCGAGACGCGACAACCGGTGAGCTACCCCTCGGGAGGTCCCCTCCCTCTCCTCCTTCCTCCCCCGAATGGAGAGAAATGCCGTTGAGATGCCGGTGTTTTGCCCGAAGTAATATAGTCCGAAAATTGTGCCTCACCATCGTTCCATTTCTTCTCTCTCGACATGGAACTGTAATCTCGGTGTTGTATCCGTCCATGCCCGGCCCGTGTATATATTAAAAGCGTCTCGTGTATTAAAACAAAGGAGGGGTTTCACGGGACAAGGGTAGCGGTTGAATGTCGCTGAACTTGCGTGACGAGTTCCTGCCGAAACTCCTCTTCAGCGGAAAATTAGAATATCAAATAATAATAATGAAAATTATTCTCCGGGCCCTTCCGACCGCCGCCGGTTCACGTTACACGTTACCGTCCGCGCGCTAATTTGCATCGTAACAGTGCCAGGAGTTTCGCGTCGTCGCCCTTAACGGATGTATCTCGGAGCGTTTCTTCGAGCGGACGCCCGGCGCAGGTTCGGACTTACAGAGGCGACGTTGGAGGCCAAGTCGACGCTGTGAAATTCGTTAAGCTTGCTTTCGCCCGCCGTCACGGCCCGCCGTCGTCGAGCGGCGAGGTGAAAAATGTGCCGAGCTGTCGAGTGGGACTTCCCGAACGCGCGTCCGCGCGTAATTGTGCGCCGATCCACAAAGGCGAAGACAAAGCAACGCACGAGCCGTAGCACGACACCGAGAGTCCCCGGAGAATTCCTAGCAATTACCGCTTTAATATCGCACGAGGTATCTTCGAGCGAGGCTGACGCATCGGTGTGCGAAACGGCGGTTAATATACCTCGTAATAACAAAGATTGCTCGTTTCTTCGGCAATTCGGCAAACTGCACCGGGAGAAAAGTATTCGGTGTTTGTAATTATATACTGAGAACAAGATTTCTTCAGATTTAATCAATTTTATCGCATTCGGACAAATTTCATCACTCGCATGGCTCCAAAGAAACTGATGTTTCGATTGATAAGAACGAAAAGATTGTTCGACTTTTCAACGAATATGTATCTTTATCTTAAGTAAAAGAATTTGTTTGTAACGGAAGATAATTTTCTTATAAAGAAATTATTTTTTTCGTTTTGCATATTTATTGTAACGGAATAATATTTTATAAAGATAGATATTATTGAAAGATATTATTTCAAATAATAACGTTCTTTCTATTAAATAATAAAAGAGTTTCTTTGAGTGAGATAATAAAATTGTTACTCGGGCAAATAATATTTCATATACATTGTTTCTGCGAAACAAATTTTAGTCAAGTAAATAGAAATATTAAATCTAAAGAAATCTTTTTTTTCTATGTAGGGGTCGTTAAAGCATCAATGACAATATTCCTATATTATGTATATTACTACTACTATTTTTGTGGTTAAAATCAAAAGAAATTAATAGTCGAGACCGAAAATAATTATAATTTCTCTCGATGTGGTTTAGTCTTTCTTTCTTTTTCTATCTCTCTCGACCAGACAGAAATACACTCGGTCGATAACGCTTTCAAAGGACACGAGCAAATCCAAAGACTCCGTTAAATTCGGAAATCACGCTCGAATAAATCTACGTGTTAATTTCTATTTGCATATTTCGCATAAATCTGATATATCGCATCATTTGATCCCTGCACTCGTAATAAATGATCACGATAGAGGTGCGCGACGGAGATAATTCAGTGGGACACATCGCGTTACCGATAATATCGTATTATCGATAATTGATATTCTCGAAAATTCATGAAAAGATGACCGGAAAGATGATATCTGTGCGAGAAATGGAGCGATATAAAATCGAAATTGCGTCGCGTGATATCGACAGAAAATTATAGTTGGTTTTGTCGCCAAGTATACTCTTTAATTACAAAAGTAGTCGGGAAAACCATTTTTTTTAGTAAATGTTATTATAATGTCAGTGATAATAACTTTACATGCGTGTTGCTATTATTATAAAATATGTTTGGCGCCGAAACTACTCGAGTTGAAACTTCACAAGTCGAAATTTTAAATCCTACATTAAGTCTTCTTAAGTCTTCTTAAGTCTTAAGTGACGGAAACGAAAATAAGTTCTCACTTGTAGCACCAAAGGAGCACAAGGAATGTTCCTTTAATGCTACAAAGGGAATTTAGTGTTCCAGAGTCCAAATTTTAGTTCTACATTAAATCCTCAAGTGGAAAAAACGACAATAATTTCCCCATTTGTAGCAAAAAGAGGAACCTAATAGAAGAACTTTGAATACTCTATATAGAACTAAGTTAGACTTAAAATACTAAAATTTCGGGTTTGATTTTATATTAAGTCTATTTAATTCTACAATAGATATTCAAGTGGAGAAAACGGAAATAATTCCCCCATTTGTAGCATCAATAGAGCACAATAGAAGATCTTTGGGGACTTAATGTAGAATTGAAATTTCGACTCGAGTAACTATAATTTTCTATCAGTGCATGAAGCGAACAACGTACCGGGGCAACCGCGCGCGAACAATCGCATTGTCTCTGCTCCAACGCATTATTTAAATTAAATGTAAGTGGGATTTCCCTGAACACGCATGGAATCCTAATAAATCGCATCTCATCGCGGTGCGCATCATACGGTTGCGATTTGCACGCGCGATCGATGCGATTTCAAAACTCTCTCTCTCTCTCTCTCTTTTTCTCTCTCGCGGTATTATACCGGCGCACGTAACTTCTCGCAAAAGCGCCTGTTCAATTATTTGTTACTCGCACGGGTGTAATCTGTTAAAGCAATTCCCAACGGTACTTCTCTCTCTCATTTATCAAAGGACGTGTATCCGACGAATTGCTCCGGAGGAAGACTCGGAGGTTGTGCGCTGTGCGTAAAACGCAGGTATCGCCGCTGCGTCACCGTTGCAGCAGTCGTAAACGCCTTAGCATTTTTATCGAACGCATTTCTTTCCTTTAGCGCGGCACGTACGGAATACATGTTGCTCAACAACTTTCTCTATACTTAGCAAAAGGAGGCAAGCAGTTGGCAAAATTCGAAAAAAAAAAGGAGAACAACTATCTCGCTGTGCTGTCTAACGAGAAAAAGAAATAAAAGTACAGTAAACATCTGGTTGTCTTCTTATCCTTCGCTCGATATATTTGAAAAGTTACACACCGGAAGAAAGTTTGGCTTAATTTACCAGTATAGCGAACGAATCAAACGCGTTTTCGTTGAAGAAAACGGAATTTCTGGTTTTAAAAGCCGAATTTGGCTCGTAAGAATCAGGAATTCTATTTCCCTCGATCAAAACGGCCCACGGCCGGCAAATCCGATGAAATTCGCGAGATTTTTCGGACAAACGTCGTCGGAGTAATTTCACGACGGTGCGCGAGCACAACGATGCGCAAAACTTGACACGACAGACACCGTCGAGGTGAGCCCGGCTGAAGAGCACTTTCTCCGGAGCGATCAGCGCGTTGCCGCGCGAGCAGACTCGCGAGCCCGTTAGTGTGATTAGCGTGTTTCCGATCAGGGGCAGCCTGTTCACTTCGCAGACGAGCTCAGTGACGGAGGCGACCAGCGACGAAATCGACATCGACATCGAGGAGCCGCAGAGAGTGACCACGTGAGTAGCAATATCGATCTTCGCGATTAGACGCAAGACGAATTCAAAAGTTGGAGGTGGCACGGAGGAAACCAATTTTGCTAGAATTTTGCAAATGTTTGTCAATATAGTGGCAGCAAAAGAGAATTTGTTAGGACAGCGAAAAATTCGTTCGGGCAGCAGAAAGATTTGTTAAGGGGAGGTTCTCATCTAGAGGTCTAAAAACACGGTGATTTTCTTGATTTTTTTGTCATAGAAGGAAGTAAATGAACCAACTTGAGTTTTTTGACAGTTAGTTATCGACTCTTAAAGTGTAGAAAAATATTTTTTTTGGTGCATAAAGGTGTCATGGGAAGTGTTAATACGTCGTCGAACGTCACGTTGAAAAAAAAAAGTACCCAAACGGTCTCCATCGCACAGCACGTTTATGTCATCAGAAATGAAAAAACCAAAAAATTTTATAAATTATATGATATTTATTGGAGCTTGAACCTATAATATCAATAAAAAGTCGAAAATTACAAAAATGGCGGACATGGTGAATTTCTAGTACCGTTTTTTCACATTTTTCGCTCTTTAACCGTTTGATTGCTACGCGGCGCAAAAGCGCTGCGTTCATTTGTCTCGAAAACCGCGACGCAGCGCTTTTGCGCTGCGAGTTTCAGTGTATCTTTGTTGCTCCGTGGGTGTGAACGTAGTCTGACCTCACGCGTACTTTGTAACACGAGTGCATTCTAAAATAACTTTTTACCGTTTCTATATATTATTTTAAAAAAATATCCATATCACGGGCTCTTATTTTGGACGTTGATTCGACTGCTGGTTATTCTGAGGATGGTGAAAGAACAGACACCAGTAGCGATGATAGCATTATTATAATTCATCGAAGAAAAAGACTGAGGATGATTGAAAGTGAGTCTTCTATCTCATCTTCATCTTCAGAAACAGAAGAAACACCAACTTTTACGAATGTTCCTCCGACAAATGTGTTTTCGAAAACAACAAATAATTTTTTCGAGACTCCTGGACCTAGATGTTAATTTTCAAAGAAAAAACAATTTAATGTTTATTTTTTCTTATTCACATTCACAATTAATATTGTTTCTTTATAATACGAAAAGAATTATTAAAATTGATTGATATTTGTCTAAATGAGAGTGTTTTATTTGACAACATCAAGTCAAAATATGTCCCGCAGTTTTCGAACGTTCTCGCCAGAATCGCTTAGCAGTCAAACGGTTAAAGTGCTCTGAAAATAAAAAAAAGACGACAAATATCATCTGAATTTAGGTTTAGGATCCAATAAATTTTATCTACTTTAAAATAAAAAAAAATCCAAGTCAATCCATCGAGTAGTTCTTGAGATATCGTGGAGACCAGTTTGAAAAACATGATTTTTCAGAAAACGCGTTTCAATGTGGTAGTACTCGTACTTGACGCCATGCAATTCGTTCCTTTTTTATGCGATAACTTTTTTATGCAATTGTTATCGGCCAAACCGCTTTGGGAACATATTCTACACATAATAAGCTATCGAAAAAAAATATTAAAAAAAAACGATTTTTTGGTCGAGTTTCATGAGAACCTCCCCTTAAGAGTATTAATTGTCCATGTATCCAGCAAATAACAATTAATACTCTTAACAAGTCTTTCTGTTGTCCAAACAAATGTTTTTTTGCTATCATTATATTGACAAACATTTGCTGTTCTAGCAAAATTTGTTTTCTTCGTAAGGGCTATTCTCTCTCTCTCTCTCTCTTTCTTTCTCGCGTGTTACACGCCACGTGCTGCGCCGTTGCTCGGTTTGCTTGCTTGCTTGCTTGGTGTACGCGTTAACTCGTGCTATATGAAAACATACAGTCCCTGTTCATATTAGACGTACTTTAATTTTTTACAATTCATTAACTTTCGTGGACCAGCTTTATAATACGACCCATCTATTGATCGAATTATATTAATGAACCATTGTTCTATAAAAGGTATTTTTTATGACGTTATTTGGCTTAGCCGTTACGATGACCTCGAACAAGTATGAACCCGCGCTAGTCGCATTGATGATAATAACGAGAACAGACGTGAGTTTTCCGTATGTGTGTCAATTGAAATTTAGTTTTATTTTTGTTTATTCGTGACTTTAAACTTACAAACTTTTTCGCTTATTAACAGAAAAACGAAATTTTAGCATGAAAGATATTAATATCGTTTACAGAAATCATGGGTGAAAACAAGTGGTTTGACGCCTCGGGAGCTTGCAGAGGCAAAAACACTGATCGACAGCGAAAATTATTCCGATCGAGCGAACATAAAATTAGCAGCCTTTCTTCTCCTCCCAATCTAAGCATTTCATGAAAAAATCAAAGTGCGCCTAATAATATGGCGAGGGACTGTGTATATACGGCCCGTTCGGTAACTTCCAAAGCGACTTTCGGGCCGACCGGTCGCGCGGTGGTCGATCGTCGAGTTATTAAACGCCTATTTCGCGTGTACACCGAGTTAGATCGCGCCGACCGAAATCAGAGTATAGAAAGCCCGAGGAGAAAGGTATATCTCCATGCAAATTACTTCCACTTTGTATGCAGAATCGATAACGCGCCGGCGAATTTTCGTGTACCCTCGTGCATACCATAATATACGGATAAATATCGGCCAGATCGTTGGGCGAGCTCGCGCGCGAGTCCCGCAGGACAGAGCGGGAAGGGATATATATTCTATAGGGATAGAATATTCCGGCGGGAGCGTTTACTCGGAGCAAATTTCATTTCGCGAAACACGCACGCAAGTTTCGAGCCGGCGCTTTCGATTCGGCGTCCGCGCTCCGTGTGCGAAACGCCCTTTGAAATGGTAGGCGAGGCGAATGCGAAGGCTCTTCGATCTTCTAATATCTCTCGGCCAAAGTAGAAATGTCCCTCCGCGTCCCGGCCGCGCCCGCATATAATCTGATCCTTTCCGTCCTCGCGCTTTTAACTTCGCCCTCGCATTTTTCAATTTCCACCGGCCTATTACCGGCCACTTCCAGCCGGATGATAACCGGTAGGAATGAAAATAGAGTATATTGAATATTTACCCGGGTTGCCCGATGTATATTTCATTTCGCGCGGGTACGGTCGAGGCACGCGAGCGCGCGAGTGTGCCGTCACGATGGAGGATTTAAACAGCGCGCTTATTTCGAGATCGACTGCATTTACGATTTATTATTATTATTATTATTTCTGTTTGTTTGCGGAAGAATCCCTTTGCCACGGCGGATGTAATTAGTAATTCAATACGTAGTAATAATAATAATACATAAAGAAGGAGCAAGAGGATATATTATAAAATTTATAGTTTAAAATGAAATGAGAATGCGCTGAAAGTTTCCCGAGAAAAGCAAGATCATATGTGAAATTTGCTCGTATATGACCATGTATAATTATATATGTCCACAACGAAAAAATACGGTTGTATACAAATTATATGCAAATCTAATCGAATTAAATGCTTCTAGCTACACTTGTGCTTCTGACAGCACACGATATCGACATTTGATTAAATGACATAATATCATTTTTTTCGTACAGACATATGTGATCATTTATTTGAACACATATATTTATATGGGCAGAATTCATGCATGATTTTATATAATTATATATAATCATATATAATCATATATAATCATTTTTCCCCGGATTTTGACGATAGTTATAACGGTATAATATTTCCAAGGTTCGTATGTTTCTGAAAGCATAGCAATAACAACAGAAAGCCCCGTTTTTTGTAAGATAAAGCTAAGATCATGTTAATATGTTGACCGAACCTCAAATCAGAGCTAAACAAGATCCCGAGTCTCGAATTGTGTCGAGGCACTGCCGAAAGAGGTGAACTCAACAAAGAATACTTATAAATAACAAGGGGAGCTGCATCTCTTCCGACTGAAGTGTAAAACACGACATTTGCTCAAATTGAGGTCAAAGTTATTCACCAGAGCACCAGAGCCCCAAACTGATTAAATCTGTAAAAGAATGACATCAATCGGGTTTATTCTCCTTTTGATAAAAAACGAGACTTCGATACAAGCCAATCCCTCAGAGGGTCGACCATGAATCTTTCCATCTAGAGTGAATTCATGAAAAGTGAAAATTTTCCAGCTTGAAAGCGTTTGGAAGCGTCCACTTTTCAGGGGTTCACGCCAGAGGAAAAGATTCATGATCGCCACCCGCAGAGTGTGACTTGTGATGAAATCCTCACTCCGCGGAAACGTCCACTCTAAGTTCTTATATATGTATATCTACTAATATTGCGTCTCTATTCCCAGCGTCAGGGGCGCTTTATATATTTAAGATATCCTTGGACTTTTAATTCGGAGGTTTAATTTAGCCCGGCTATTGTCCATCTTGAGCGCTGTGAAATCGTCTATTGAATGTTTCGGTGCCACGAGGCAACTTTCCGACGCGGAATAGAATCCGTCCGACCCCCTTTCCATCTCTCTCTCTCTCTCTCTCTCTCACTCTCTCTCTTTCTCTCTCCAGTTTATTAAGAATTAACGGTATCCGCTAGACAATTAGACGGAAGATTATTGACATCTGTTATCGCGCCGAAAATATATTTTGTCGTCACGTCATTCTCTCTCTCTCTCTCTCTCTTTCTCTCTCTCTTTCTCTCTCAAGTCCGTGGAGAGAAGAGGAGAGAAGAAGATCGGAAAGGCTTCAACTAGCTTTGCGCGCCATTGACATTTCGAGAGAGTCGATTCATCGGGCGCGTACGGAACGCACGGTATTCCGCACAAAAGGCCTTTTCCGAGCCCTCCTGTTGTGCGCACGGACTCGTAAAGTGCTTTTTCCACATCGCGCCATTACTTTGCACCGTACGAATGACCCAGATTTCGCGGTGGCAGCGGCGGCGGCGGCGGCGACGAGTGCGCGCGTAGTCGAACTTGTACATAAAGACACTCCGGTGTGGGCCAGATTTTCCCTACCATCTCTTCCGCAGCTTCCTTCGCGCCTCTCTCGTGGCTCACCTACTTCCACCCTGCTGCAATAGTGAAGCTTTCGTACATTTGCCAGCTGAAGGGTGAGGGGGGGAAATCTCGTAGGGATATTTTATAGCGTTCCTGTCGGTATCCTCGTATGCTGCCTTAACTTCATCTTAAAGTAGTTGTATCGTAGAATGCCAGATTTTCAGTTGCGATATTAAGGAGTCTCTGCATAAATTTATTGCTTACTGGAAAAAGGTACTTTTCTATGGAACTTGATTTAACTGTCTAAGCAATGAATGTTAATTTTGAGCGAAATTGAAAAATGCACACACAATATTTCAAGCACGGGAATATTATTTATTTTTTATTTCCCTTATTAATGCTTTATTTATACGTCAGTTGAGCTAATAAAAGTGCACATATAATAGAAAGTGATAAATAAATACTTAAATGTATGTACATGTACATATATCGCGAATTTCACTATAAATTGTATACTTCCTATGATTATATTTTTTAAAACAGAATAGCTAATAATTCCTAAATTTTGTGTATAATGTTTGCAAATTAGTCCTTAATATCGTAACAGTTTCTCACTAACATCCTAAAAAGCTCATCTTGTGTTACAATTATCTTGAAATACTGTCTTTTCCTTTTCGCTGTTCCGTCTCCTCTATATCACATTCCGCCGAATTTTTATTATTACTTCTCTTTGCATCTTGATTTCCCGATCGATGACAATCAAGCTTCACGTTCGTGACGTATCATTGACACACCTCTCGATGCTCCTTTCGTGATCGTGCCGTTTATTTTTATTTTCGCTTTACCTGCACATTTACATTCATAACAGAAGTATCCGCCAAGAAGATGAGCGTACTCGTGGACGTAAACAGCCGAGGAATAGGCACTTCTACTGAACATATTCTCGGCTCTTGGGATAAGCGTCGAGGGGTCGAGAGCCGGTGGGGTGGCAAACATAAAATCGAGAGGCAAGAAAACCGATACTTCGGCCGATATACACGTGACAACGTATGTAATCCGGAGATGGATACACACGTGACACGTGATGTTGCGTTTGGCACGAGTCAATGTTTTATCCCGTACGACAATTACTCTTCCTTTTTTTGCGCGCTACAGATTACGGGGGAGATGGTAATGGGTCTATCGACGTTACGTCCTTATTCTATCTCGAGGTGACATCGTGAGCCCTTCGTTCGACAGACGAAGCGACGGTCGTTCTCTACCAGAGAATTTCCGCGCAAGCATTAGCAGGTTTTAGAAATATTTTAGGCACGTGCACGGGACATCGGATATTGCATTTTATCGGTTATCTTCTTCGTTCGTAGCGATGAAAGGGAAACGAACCATACCGCGTTGCGTCCTGCCGCGTCGCGATCGATTCGGGGAAATTAAGTTAGTGAAGATCGCAACTCGAGAGAGAGAGAGAGAATCAATTTCTTTTCTAAACTGCATCGACCAAATTTCGAACTGCCGCCGTAACAAAGTGAAGTAATGAATCTTGTCAGTACGATAATTTAATCACGCCGATATATTAGCTGGTTTCCACGCTTAACGGGTTTGTCTCTTTCCGTTGTCAAACGGATTAAACGATTTTCCCACTTTGGAACGGGCCGCGATCGAAACGGGTTAAGCGTCATCAAAATAAACGAAAACCAGTGATTGTACGCATTGTATTGTAAAACAGTAGTTTGTTATTTTTTCCCTCACGATTCGTCGGCCGGATACCGCGACCTTTCCGACTTTTGCAGGCTGACAGAGGCACACCGAAACGCTATCCGGGCAATCAGGAAGATCAAGTACTTCGTGGCTCGCAGGAAATTTCAACAGGCTCGGAAACCGTACGACGTCCGTGACGTCATCGAGCAATACAGCCAGGGTCATCTGAACATGATGGTGCGGATTAAGGTGAGCCTGATTCTTTTCATATCGTCCGCATTCTCCACCCTCGGGATTGTTATTCGAAAGTCACTCGAAAGTCGATTGCGGGCTTTTGTATTTTCGTATCATTTGCTCGCGCCGGTAGGAGTTCGCCTCTCGATAAATCACTTTCAAATCGTTTGACGCGTAACGGATTGATAAGGCGTGTCCTGAAACGAAGCTGTTCCTCGTTGTAGCAAGCCGTTACACACGGGTTTGTCCCGATAATTCCAATTATCCTTATTTGACGGATTAATCGTCAATAGCGAGCCCTCCACCCCCATCTCAATGTTCAATCGAACACGCGCGCGCGCGATCACTCGTCGACGATTAGCGCGACACGCAAGATCCGAAGGGTCCGCGTCGATTCATTGCGTGGACAATGCAGTCGTCGATACACGGCACAAAACAGCGGCAGCTAATCGACGAATAGTCGTCGCGGCCTGTCACTTGGGAGTATCTACGCCGGTCAGATGCCGGGAATTGCTCGCGCAGGTGTCACAAGTACATCGGCATCCACTGAATGCATTCCTAGTTAACATTTTCGAAAATATTCAAATGCCAAAAACGTGCCATGTCCGAATAGTTATACGTTAGTTAGCGTGGCTGTCTGCGGTAAAAAGGAAAGAGGTGACGATCCGTTCAATAATTGGCAATTAGCGTTCGATGAGAAGGCTCATCCAACCAGGCGCATCAGCGAAGTGTTCTTTTTCAAAGACGATACAAAGATAGTTTTTTGCACGCACAGAGAAAAAAGTCCCTTTAGATTCAGCATTTCCATTTATTTGACTAAAATTTCATAGAGACAACGTACACGAAATATTATTTGTTCGAGTAAAAGTTTTATTGTCCCATTCAAGGAAACTCGATTATTTAACAGAAAGAACGCCATTATTTGGAATAATATCTTTCAACGAAATGAAATATTATTTGGTTACAATAAATATGTAAAATGAAGCAAATAATTTCTTTGTAAGACAATTATTTTTCGTTTCAAATTTTGTATTCGCGATAAAGATATGTATTCATTGAAAAGTTTAATCGTAGTTATTAATCGAAACGTTAATTTCGTCGGAGCACGCCGATGATGAGATTTGTTTGGATGCAATGGAATTTGTTAAATTCAAAGAGATCTTTTTCTCAGCGTGTACAGTCAATTTCGAAGATTCCTCCGGGGGATTGAATTAGCCGTCGCGCGAATCGGCATCGCGTCGGTGATATTTATTCGCATGTGAACAATGGAGGCATTATCGTAAAGCTTAAACGACGACTTTAAAAAGCCAGCCGGCGACGACAAAACGTCAATCACTGTGACTCGACTTCTGCGAGCGCGCACTGTCTTTTGTTTGTCGAAGAAAGCTTCGGGATACTTCATGACGAGCGAGTAAGGCTTTGTTATGTATCAGGGAGATCGATAACATCCTTCAACTCCCCGTTGTTTCACGGGTAAATCCCGTCGACGGAATTTCGACTTGCCGCTCTTCGGGACGCGACAAAGGCATTTCCGTGCATTGTTTAACTAATTACGGCGCGCTGCATTAATTTTAATCTCGATCGAAATTTTACTTTATATCGTCAGCCCTCTGTTTTGCCACGCGAGGAACTGCGTATTCGTTTTTTCCCGTTTCATTCTAACAATATTCCGTATAATCCCATCAAAGGGGAATAACGACGAGGAAGAAGGAAAAGCTGAAGAGGAAGAGGAGGAGGAGAAGAAGTACAATATCGATCGCGAATAACGCGCTTAACTATTCCACTCGACGGCGTGGGTGTACTCGTCGTTCGCCGTGCACTTTTGCCGCAAACACTTTTGCCCGGGCGTAGGTCTACGGACGTTGATCGCACGTTTGATTTGTCTGCAGGAGTTGCAGAGGAGATTGGATCAGACCCTGGGTAAGCCGGGGAGCTACCTGGCGGGAATCGACCGGGCGGGTAACGTGAAACCTATGACGATTGGTGCGCGTTTATACAGAGTCGAACAGCAGGTACGTGTCTCGCTTATTAATCCGGTGGTCGCGCAGATGACAGGTGTCATTCGTACTAAAAGACATTTTCCGAAAAATATTAACAGGCTTGCGCCTTCACACTGAAAAAAAAGACTCGACCATTTATTCGCGAAATGTAAGGTTTATCCCACGGAAATAAACGTTTATTTAAATACGGTGAAATAAAATTCTCTTCCTAGCGAATAAACCAATTAATGAGAAAATATTTATTTCACAAAAATTATATATTCCACCATCGCAGTCGAATGTTTTTCTAATCGATAAATATTAAAGGAGATGTCACGAGAAACATTTATTTCACAAAATTTCAGTTTCTTCTTCTTAGTGTGCGTGTATTCAGTCAATTAGGGATTGTTTTCGTCTGTTTTAAATGAGTCTTTTATGCATTTAAATAGCGATTCTTAACCTTAGAACATCACACTTGGGTGTTTCACATACTGTTATTGAAACGCCCGCTGTTTGTATATAGTGAAAGATAGGGGTCCAGAATTGAAGGGGAAAAACTTCTGTTTATCCTTTATGACTGTGTTGCGCAGTCCTACATGCCTTTTAGTAGATATAGGGGCACCATTGAAAATGATATTGCGTGTGCTACATTCATGCGTGTGATATAGGCACTTTTGCGTCCTCATATCATTGTCTCTTATTTTTCTGAAAAGTTACATTATTTATCTTTAAAAAATTACTTTTCCTTTTACACAATGAGACTTTATAAAAGAAAGATCGAAACGTATATATAATTATCATTATAAACGACCTAATTACTCTATGTATGTTTTTCTTTTTTCCTGCGTGACTCGTGCACTAACGTCTGCGTTCCGTATCATATACCAATACATATTGTCAGGTACAATTTTCTTATAATCGTTACTTTCACACAAATAAATGTTATTACTTTTCAAAACGATCTTTAAATTGAAGTGTCGATTTAAAATGAAGGAACACTTGTCATCCACGCGACCACTCGTGTTGCATCTAAATACGCGACCATTTCAGGATTCACGAATATTTTACCATAACGTCGCGATGGGCCGTTTTTTTATTTTTTTTTATCCATTCACACGTGATCTCGTCGTAGACTGTCTTTGCGGTCAGCCAGAGTCACCGTGAGCTTCTCTCTCGAAAGAGCAGAGGCGCAGATTAACGTGACGCGCGTTACCCTTCGAGGTATACGTCGCGAACACGCTCGATGAAAATTTATCGCGGGATGCGAGTGCATCGGAATGCACTTTCTGCTTTCAGCTGTCGGTGATGGACAAGAAGCTGGACCAGTTGGTGTACGTACTGAACGCGTTGGCGCAGAAACAGCAGATACCGCTGCGTAGTATAGAGGACGACGTGTAACAAAGAGCCCCCGGTAAACCCGTGCGATCCGTTTTACGATCACCCGCGGTCTCATGGAACCCGCCTCGCGTCACGATAACCACGGTGGTGCCGAGTATGCTGAGCGAGAGCACTTGAACGCGAGGCGCCGGTATCCCTGACGGTGGTATCCCGAATACGTGCGGAGAGTACGAACGAAGAGTGAATATCGTCCAGCTCACTCTCGTCTCGAAGATCTATGGGAGATCCTGGAAACCACGAGGAGAGGAAGAGAGAGAGAAAGAGAGAGAAATCGGAGGAGTGACACGCGACAGGGGAAGTCGAGACCGCGGAGGAGTTCACGCTTCTTACACCTGCGATCCTCAAACGATATATATATATATATACGATATACGATATATATATATATATACGATATACGATATATATATATATATATATATATATTTATTTATTTATTTATTTATTTATTTATATATATACGATATACGATATATATATATATATATATCTCTCTCTCTCTCGGGAATATATATATATATATATATAACCCGAAGGAACGTATCGGTCGTGAGATCCATCGCCCGCTATCGCTATGCTTCTCGCAGGAGACACTGCGGAAGAGCGATATCCGGTGGACGACGAAGACACGTTGTTGGCTCGAGGCCGTGGTGAGGGCAGTCCTTGACCATAAACGCGAACGACGCGGAGTCAAACGCACAGGAAACATAATCGAGGCAACGAGACGCGCGGAAACGAGGGGGTGAGAGTCGTCGATCGTTACATCCGCCACACGCGCCCTGCACGCGCGCCGTGTACGCCGCTCAAAAGGAAGAAAAAAGGAAGGAAATAAAGAAAAAAAAGCAAGAGAAGGAAGAAGGACGTTTCGTGGACTGAGGCCGAAGGCATGCGAAGTCGCGTGGTTAGTTATTACGGCGCGAAGGAATGCATTATTCAGCGACGACGGGACGACGATCGATCGCGTAGCTCTCGATCTCGTCGCCGGGAAGCGGCCGAGGAAAGGAGAAGAGAAAAGGACCAGGAATATCGACGCTGTTCCGTAGATTTTTTTCAGTTCGCCGAAGGGATGAGTCAAACGCCAATGGGAACATCATTCGGGCCAACTAGGAATAAAATAAGGAGGAACAATAAGCAACTGAACTTCCTAGAGCAGATTTTAAGCCTGTTAATTAAACTCGTACGTAGACCGCCGATCGCGTACCGCCGACCGGTGAAATTATTTATCGACGAAACGAAATCGTCGTCGAGTATCGAGTACACCCGAAGAGATACCAACGGTTCCGAGTCGTGATTGACCGTCACGACTGCCCCCCCCCNCCCCAAACGGAACAACCGGGAACCGTCGCTGACGCGACTCGCATTACTCGCGACTCGCCCGGTCTCGAAAACCCGTCGATTTACTTGTATCCCGTTTGATTTCTTCGGCCTAGCACAAATGTAGCAGACATTTCGAGGTAACCCGCTTTAAGCCTGCATATGTACGATTCTCCATTTTTTTTATGGCATCCCCCGACAACCACATTCTCGCCTACAATCGCTTGTCCCTGAAGAGCAATACGTCTACATAGATTACATAGGTGCTGCTCTCCGTGAACCTTCGATACGATATACGCATGTGTGTATATTTATCCGTAATATTAGTCTTCGATACTCGCGCGAGTTTTAAGGAATGTTTTAAGGGTTTAAGGATACGCTGCAAGAGAAGAAGCGGAAGATGACGATGAAGAGGAGGCGCGTGTACATATACCGCGAGCGGCGTGGAGGCGCGACGCTCTCTCGCATACAACACAAATACAATTTATATTTTGTACGTAGATTATTTACGGAACGTGTTAAGGTCGGGGACGTTAGGGCACCGCGATCTCTCGAATCCCGTGGCGCGATTCAGTCCGTACGGAAAAACAAAGCTCTCTCTTACTACTTATAGGACCGAAGCCGTGTGTTGCGACGCAGCACGAATCCGAGGGATTAGCCGATTTTTCGGGTCGCGAATAAAAGGGACTACCGAGGATCGGGAGGGGATATCGACGCATAGAGGACGCGTAATATAGTTGCGGCTCTTGATGATTTCGTCGACTGCCAAGATAGTTCTAAATCGAGACGAGCAATATAACGTTAATAAGTTCAGATAGCGTTCAACGGACGACGGACTCGCGTTGTCTCGCAATTCTCTGCTTCGCGCCGATCGATTAACGACCAGTCTTTCGCGGGCAAGGAGGATCGTCCTTTACCGAGCGAATCTGTCGCACTTTATACATACATACATATATATATATATATATATATAACTTATCACCTTATATATATGATTATGTACATATATACAGTCAGGGTAGTTTTAGCGACTTTCTTAAAAATCGAGCGGCTTCTAAGAATATTTTTAATCACATGAAGAGACATTATATATATATACATACATAGGTGTAGGGTCCAAGATATACATATTTTACAAGACTTTCTCGTGAACCAAAACACCACGCTTTACTGCTGCAATGGACGTAGTGCTTGATTCGGGACGATCAATTCGTCACGTCGGCGGAACCGTAATTATATCGCCGATTGCGAGCGCATATCCGATATAATTATACATCGCATCTTCTACTTCGTTCTCATGAGTGACCGTTCGTTTCGCGTTTTTATACCGCAATATTTTACGTGTCGTTTCTCGTTGTTTCCGATATTAAATGCGAAGGTCACCCGCGAAACTCGGATATTATCGACCGGAGGCTGGCCACGAGAGACGGTAACTTCCGAGCTTTGTTTTAATTATAAGTGATGTAATTTATTCTTCGCTTCGAATGCTCAATTGTTCGTGAATCAAGCACAACCTCTGTCAGTTATAATAAAGTGGTAGTCAAGCGGAGATTTTCGGAAGGAACGGAATTTAATAATCGAATGCTCGCACTCGGGTGCGAAAACTTGTCTCTCTTGAAAATTAAATTAATTAATAAACATCGTTAAAACCGAATTTACCTTTCTGTTGTTGTTGACAAGAAATGCATTGTCGATTTATAGTTTTTAACGAGCGTAATGTTCACTTTCCTCTTCAAGGATCCCTGTCGATTTTTGATAATGTCGTAATCAAATGTCGTCGTTGAACACATGTGTACACACACACACACACACACATACACACACGCGCGCGCGTACACATATATACTTTCGACGATTTTATACACGACGCTCTTTGTAGCCTGATCGATTTTGTACGATCGAATTTCATAAATCTTTGACTATCACTTTATTATAAGTGTGCATTTCATCGAAATATATGAAGAAAGTGCACAGGAAAACGTAAGAAAAATACTCTATGAAACACGCTTTAGCCTGTACGTGCGTACCAGCACACTCTATGGTGCCTCTCACTCAACTTACTCCACTTTAACATGATTAATTGATAGAACTTACGGTAACGCATAAATGATACTATTATAGATTACGACTATAACGTAGTTCTCCTGCAATCAAAGGCACGGCACGGCGCGAAGAAATTTTCACTCATCTAACGTTATGTCTTCGCGGGTATATTTTATTTCTCGTCTATTCGAAAATGTTGAATTTTCTAATTCGTATTCTCATCCTCCGTCGAAATTGGTTTCCTAAAATAACCCGATGAATGGGAAGTTCTTTGCGCGGCGCGTGCACCAATAAGATACACAGATCTCGAGCATTTGGCGGGAGGGGATGAATCATCATCACGCATCGAGATGGAGATAAAATTTAAATATTATTATAATAATGAAGGTTTGGAAATTACGACTAGATAGGTGCGGGGTGGTCTTATCGTATAGGGTGATACACGTAGAGACAATCAATAAACTTCATTGTTAACGTGGCGCTGTGTAAAAATCAAATTTCCTTTTCGTGACTTATTGAGTGACATCTTCGATGTAAACGAGTTATCAACGAAATAATAATTGAAGTAAAAAATTAGCGAATTCCGTTCGTAGGTATGTAGATCGGTGATATTTAATGGCCTCGCGCTAAGCGCAACGTTATTCCATTATGAATTATTGCATAGAGTGTATTTTCGTTCAAGAGATACGAACAATGTTACGTATGTATAATCAAAGAGGTGATTTATTTTTTTATTCTACCAAAGGTATTAGATTTAATTTGCATAAGTTATACGTTTGATTGTATATTCCGCTATTTTGGAACTGTTGGCGACTTATTTAAATACGATCGAATTGCAACGGCGATTAAAAGCACAAGAATTGTTTTCGTGTGTCTTTTTCTTTTTCTTCGAAGGAGATCTTGTTGAGCGTTGAAAAGCGGGAATATCGCGTGTAGGAAGAGTATATAAATATAGACACGGTAAAAAAATATCTCTAATACTATATAAAGACCACAGAAAATACTCTTGTAACAGATCTCAAATGCAAGTAGTGTTCGTGAATCGGCCGAAAAAGTATGTAATATAATTTTTATCATTAAACGCGCATATACATTACATTATAATATACATATATATATGCAAAACGTGCACGCATGCAATCGGATTATTGAAGGTATTATATACATACTTAAAGATTACACACATACATACACACATATATATACATACACATACATACCACACATTTAAGACGAAAATTTAGAATTATTATACATATACGACGATAGCTCTCTCTCTCTCTCTCTTTCTCTCTCTTTCTCTTTCTCTACAGATATAATAATTAATTTAATTAAGCGCGTATCAGCATCGAGTGGCTAATGACGAAGCTGGAATCAAATCGGACGAGAAGTTCGCTATTCACAGCTTAAAAAATGTGATAGCACGCAATCTACTTTAACCGAGGACATTAGGAAACCACATCCATGAGGTCGCACACGGTCACCTCTCTTTCGTCCTCTCTTTCCTCCTTCTATCTCTCTCTCTCTCTTTCTCTCTCTCGCGAGACTTCAAATACCTCCGTTCTAATTTAGGCCGGCACGGCATCGATATACTCTCTTATCGCCGACATCCGACGGACTAATCTAATTTAATCGATACAGCGCAATAACGATAACGGTAGGGTATATCGCTAATTCTTATAAATCTCGTCTAGCTCCCGACGTGTCTCGCGGTGGATTAGAAACTCCGACAAGCGCGGAATCCTTTCTTCTGGACGCTCGCGCGTCTTCACGCATCATGTGCCTATATATCACAGTACGTGCTCAGGACAAAGATGACGTTGGGAATACGTAAGTTTACAATATTTCCCTGTTTTCGTTTTATTTCTTAACGAGACCCTCTCGTAGATTCCTCTCATTTGTGTCGTTACGCTAAATCCGGAGTCCATGCGAACGTGTAAGAAACGGGAGCGTGTATATGCAAAGTTCGTTTCCGCCTTCGAGTTATCTACCGCGAGCAGTTTTCTACTA